GGACCACCAAGATAAAAGTACAAATTAGCCAAAGAGGGTATATGCTGGGATTAGCCACAAAAATGTCGGCTATGCTGGGATTCAGGGGAATAGATATGAAAATTAAGAAAACAACCACAAGTCCGTACGTTGCTGATCTACTGCGATGTTGTCCGGCCCCAGATTGTGGGAGATGTCAGTGTTCACCTGCTTCAGACCATTCCCGTAACCGGCAAATCCGGTGATATTGTCGCAGAGATGTTCAACAATATACATATGTACCCGTTCAGACAAAATCCTTTGAAGACATTCAAATTCTTTTAAAGGACGGTACGGGTGCCCCTGTGCCATTTGAATGCGGAACGGTAATAGCGACACTGTACTTCAGAAAGCAGAGTTACTTCGCTTAAACATGTTTGGTAGTTTGCTGACTAATAATCCACTGATTAATAATCCACTTGTAAACTATTACTTGGACCAGCAAAGGGGACTCGGAATGTCGGTCTTCAGAGGTAAGGGCATGGTAAGCCTTTGGTAAGGCCGCCCTACGAAGCGGAACCGACTTCCTGGGGGATGTCCTCTCGGGTTCAAGCGTTAAGGCATCCGCAAAGGCACGTTTCTCAGAGGCAATGCATGGTGAAAAACGAAAAGCTCGGGACAAGCTAACCGGTCAGACCGGACGGGGAAAACGTACCAGGGGCTCAAGGAGCATAAGATGAACGGCTAAAAAGAGGAAGGCATCAGAATCCACAACCAGACGTCGTCCGACCAAGAAACGGAAAACAGCTCACGACATCTTTGGTTAAGCAGTATGAGTTTTGTACACTCCGGGTCGCAGGAATGCACAAAAAGTGAACTCGACCTATTTTCCGTACCTCCAACACAAATTAGTTTGGAAAAAGGTCATTGGATAGATCATCAGCCTGTTGCTAGTGTGGCCGATGGTGGTAGTATCACGTTCATTTCCTCAGGTACCGAAGACTATGTGGATCATATAGAATCAGTAGACTGATTCTATATGACTATTGTTTCTTTAACGTGCAATGTCAACTCAACTATATACGATTAAATGTTCCTTTAACGTTTCAATCTTCAACGATCATCTGGTTGCGAAACCTCGCTGCAACAACTGTGTCTCTTTTCGGCCTGAACTCGGTGGCCTCTGCATTCAACTCGGTGGTCGTCTTGGTTGTCTGTCTGTTTCCAATGTCACAACTTAACTCTAATGGATAAAGATGTTGCACTGGTCGTTCCATGAAACTTTTCCCCACATGTAGCTTTACCGCTCTTACAACACCATCTTTCCCTTCGAATAGTTCGTGCACAATTCCCAGCGGCCATTCTCCCCTATTTCTTTCATCTGATTTAATTATAACTATGTCTCCAACTGATAGGGTAAAAGGCTTCCCTTTAAGCATGATGTGTCGTTCGCGTAGCCCTCGCACATATTCGTTTGTCCATCGTTTCCAAACAGCTTCTTTGCAACGTTTCAAGAACTTGGCTCGTTTCCAAAGATCTCTATTGTCTACATGGTGCGTTTCCATTTCCGGCAGGAAGTTAGATGATATGAACATGAAAGTGTTTGGTGTCAAAACTGGATTCTCCAGATCATCTTCAATGTAACTCAGAGGTCGTTGTTGAGTGTGATTTCGATGTCCAACAACACATCTGCTAACTCTTCCCAGGTTAAGCTACCATTCCCGATAACCTTGTATAGAGAATTCTTGACCAACCCTACCATTCGCTCGAATTGCCCACCCCACCAGGGGACACAGCTAAGATTGAACTGCGATTTGATCTCCTGACCCGCCAGGAAATCTTTAAGTTTCTCGTCTGCCATCACCGTCTTGATCCAACATGCTGCTCCCACGAACGTACGGCCGTTATCGGAGAAGATCCTTTCGGGTCTCCCTCGTCTTGCAATTAATCGTTTCAAAGTTGGAAGGAACTCTCTTGTCTCCATGGTTGCTGTTAATTCCAGATAAAGAGCTCTGGTAAGACTGCAAGTGTACAGAACTATATACGCTTTTCCTTCCTTCCCAGATTTCTTACGGTATTTCAGTGGGCCAGTGTAATCGACTCCAGTGACTTGGAACATGTGGTTTCCTTCCGTATGCTCTTTTGGTAACATTCCAGGTGTCGGTTTGACCACAGCGGTTGCTTGAAATCTGCGACAGCCACAACAGGCTTTGATTTGTCATTTAGCCAAACTTCTCAACTTGGGTATCCAATATCTCTTTCGAATCTGTGTCATTGTTAATCTGACTCCCCCGTGGAGAGTGCGCAAGTGCGCTTCTTGTACTGATTTCTCCGTGAATGTGCTAGTGTTCGGTAAGTAAACTGGGTTTTCTCCTTGTATGCGACCATGACATAGAAGTACCTCTTGGTCATTTTCTTGTAGGTTAAGTTGTTCTCGATCTTTCTCAATGTCACTCTCTCGTTGGACTCGCTTGATCCACCACAGACGAGCGTTTTCAATCTCTTGAGTTGTCAGAGCACCCCGTTGACTCTCTTTGGTTCTGCAGTTGCTTGTGAATCTCAGGATCCAGGCACATACTCGTAGTGTACGATGAAGGTCGTGCTTTTCCAACAATCGATCAAATTCGTCAGCTACTCGCTGGGCTTGTGTTGTACAAAGAACCTCTCGAACCACTTTGGCTTCAACTTCAGTAGCTGTGGATGGTTGCGTTTCAAGGTTGTCTGGCCATTTCTCTGGATCGTCCAACCATTCTGGACCGTTCCACCACAAAGATTTATTGTCAATCCTTCTTTGGCCAATCTAGATTTGGCCGTTACTAATTGTTGTGTATTCCCAGATTTTTGTCGCACTACGGAGTATACCACTGCTCCGACACCCTTCGTCGAGGCATCACCAAAGGTGTGGAGTTCTACATTTAAAACTGGCTCTCGGTATTTCACTATTGGACGTGGTATGGTTTCTTCTTTTGGCAGAGACTTTTCCCATTCGTTCCAGCGACGGCTTAACGGTTCTTGAATATCAGCATCCCATGGTACTTTAGTCTTGCACACGTCCCGAAAGATTATTTTTCCTTCCAAAGTGATGGGTGAGACCACACCTAGGGGGTCATAGACTTTTGCTAACTTACTAAGGATTGTGCGTTTGGTTGTGGTAGAAATACTGTCAACGGTTGGAAAAGATACAGTTAGAGTGTCCGACGATTTGTTCCACTTTAACCCGAGCATTGTTGTGTCAGTTGAATCACCACCTAACTGCTGTTTGGCGTATGTTTCTTCGTCGTTTCCCGCTGAAGGTTCACCGTTCACTTCAAGTTCACTTACGTTTGAGTTCCATTTATGTAACTTGAATGAGGCGTCTTCGAAGATTTCAACCGTTTTCTCCTTTCGATCTTCTGCTTGTGGAATGGTTTGCCCACCGGTGAGCAAATCATCTACATACAAACTTTTACGTAGTTCTGCGACGATATCAGGATACCTTTCTTCCCATGAGTTGAGATGCTGCTCGATCACTCCAGCGAGGAGAAATGGGGAGGGTGCCAACCCAAATAACACTCTCGTAAATCGCAACGTTTCTAACTGCGAATCTTTCTTCACTTCGCCAGTAGAATCTCAGGGCATCGCGTTCGTTCTCTCTGACTCTCACCTGCAGAAACGCCTTTTGAATGTCCCCCGACACCACGACCGGATAACCACGCTGATGGACAAGTACATCCCATAGCTTATTTTGGAGTGGAGGGCCTGCGTACAAACAGTCGTTAAGTGACGGACTGTCACGTGTCTCTTTGGCCGACGCATCGTACACGATTCGCACTTTCGTAGTTTTCGCCGTTTCTCTTACTACCGGTTTATGGGGTAAGTAAAACTCTACCCCCTTTGCTGGACTCTCGGCTGGCTCAACTACTCCACTCTGCTTCTGATCTTTAATGATAGCGTCGTACTCACTCATCAGCCCCTCGCGTTTCAGCTTAGTAACCAGGCTTTCGAGCCGGCGTCGACTTCCCTGTTCATTCGTTGGTAATGTTGGGAAATTCCCTCTCCACGGCAATCCCGTCTCATACCAGCCTTCGGGGTTTCTGGTGAGCTGTTCTTTGAACTCGTTGTAAACTACCCGTTGATCGTGTTCGGGAGCATCTTCAAGACCAAGAACGTCAAGGCGACACAACTGTTCGTAATCCAACTGATTTGTTTGAGTGAGCAACATTGTCTTCCTGTCGAATTCTTTCCCTGGTGACATCAAGAACCATCCTAGTTGAGTCAGCTCTGCAACTGGTTCCATGTCCTTTCCAACTCTAGGCGGTGTCTCAGTTTTTATTCTAGAGTAGTCTCCACTGCCCAGAACAACATGAACAGGAAGCATTGGTTTTTTGTCTTGATCTTTTATGGTCACTCCCGTCAAGTGTGGATATTTTTTGATAAGATTGTCGTACTGAGGATTCTCAAGGAAAAGCAATTCTGGCTTATCGACTTTGATTAAATTTGTTGTCATGGCGAAATTGTTCTCTGTTGATTCAATCTTAACTTCGTACGTCTCTAAACGTGCTTGTTTTGAACACATAAGCATGTCGATCTTCTTCGTTTGTACATCTAGGGGTTTAATGTGAAGTTCGTGTATTAACCTTGCTGATGCGTAGGAACTTCCCGCTCCAGAGTCTATCAAAGCTCTGCATAAAATTCCCCTTTGTTGGACTTGGTCACGTGCGTGATACAATTTTCCAGGGGGAGGTGGCCGACGGTACTCACGATCCCGGAATCTGGTTTCGTTCGACTGTTCGATTGGATTTCTTCGCGTCCAAAGATGTAGGGCTTCGACAAATTTGACAAAATCCCAACTTTCCCAATCCGGGTCTGTTCACGCCTATGGGCCTCGTTTCAATGTTTGTCGACGACCAACCCACGCGCCTTCAATACTTGTATTTGGGGACTGTATATTAAATGTTACATGAAGTACACACCACTCACAATAACGAACGGTTTTATTTTTCACGCTAAAACGACAAATATTCATAAACTTACAAAGCGAAATAATACAGAAATACTAAAACATACCTATTAACCTTACACAATACATAAATGAATAAACTGAGACTGTCTAAGTTAAAATATTACGACCGTCACATATACGGATATAAATCAGTCAAATTATGCTCATTTTTACCGTTCAAAAACAGTCAAATCTTCTTGATTCAAGCCAGCCAACAGAGCAATACAAAATCGACAATAATAACAAGTTTTCGCGATCCAAAAGCGTCCAAAACAGTGTACAAAACGACCAATTTCCTTTTAAACAACTCAGTTCTCTCAAAACGTCACGACAACGTTTGTTCTTGAGCCCGCAGTATAATAAACGCATACTTCATGTAAAGTTTCTCAACGCCCGTCCATCACTCCTCCCCATCGTTCGTCTCGATTTCATTGGGGCGACGATCGTATCCGCATTCCTCTTCGAGAAGACATAATTTCGTAACTGGTCTGGTATAAACACCATTGTTAGTCTTCACTTTAGCAGCTCGAACTCGTCCGTCTTTTCCAGGACATGTTTCAACAACTCGTCCTAACTTCCACTCACCACGTAGAAGACCCGGATCTGCTATGAGAACAACGTCGTTAACTGAAATGTTCCTTTCCTCGTTCCGCCACTTCTTCCGGGAGATGAGATTAGGCAGGTAGAGCTTCACCCACTGCTGCCACACGACATTTGCTAAGTGCTGGGTCTGTTTGAAACGACCTTGAAAGTTTGGTCGGCTGTACTCTCCGAGTGGGACAACTGGCGAGCGTCGGTGTAACCAAAAGTGGTAGGGTGTCAGAGCCTCTATGTCCTCAGGATCGCTGCTGACGTATGTTATCGGTCGTGAATTGACGAATCGCTCGACTTCGGCAAAGAGAGCGGACAACTGCAAATCTGTAGGGTTACTTCTCTTTGGTCCTCCTTTTGGATTCAGGGTACGGTTAAGTGCTGTCTTGACTGACTTAACTAAGCTCTCGTGTACTCCTCCCCAGTGAGGGCTTGCAGGGGGTTGGAACTTCCAGGTGATTCCTTCTCCAATTCTAGCTAGGCGGGTTTGAAGTTCTTCACTATGATTTAGTTCTCTAACCATCGACTTCAATTCAGAGACTGCGCCGACGAAGTTCGTCCCGTTGTCACTGTAGATAGATCTTGGCTCTCCACGCCTCGCCATCATCTTGTGAAGAGCTTGTAGGAAGTCAGGGGTGGATAACGATTCAGCAACTTCCAAATGAACACATCGAGTCGTCATGCATGTAAACAGGGCGCCGTATCTCTTCGCTTTCGTGTTTCGAGTCAACTTGACTTCGATTGGCCCGAAGTAATCCACAGAAGTGTGGTAAAATGCTGGTTGCATGGCAGTTATTCTTTCGATAGGAAGTTCACTTAGTAACTGACTGCCAGGCTTCGCTCGTTCTTTCTTACACTGGGTGCACTTTCTCTTGAAACTCTTGACTTCCTGTCGTCCGCGAATTATCCAGAACTTTTGACGAATTGCGGCCAAAACGTGGTCAGTTCCTCCCAGTGGCGAAGCCAGCGTCGTGTGAGTGGTCATGCAAACGAGCGCCGAAGGCGTGAGACATCCTAGCGGGGTCCGGGGGCATGCCCCCCCGGAAAAATTTTGAAATATATACCCCAGAAACGCCATTTGCAGCAATCTGAGCATCAAATTTCAGAAAATAGCTTGATCTAATGACGGGAAAATATGTGGATATTTTGGCATATTTCAGACAACAATAATGAAGATCGACACAAAAATAGGAAATCTGTGGTCTGCAGTTCCGCTAATTATAGTCATACCGGCAATTGTGCATTTCTTTCTTTTCGATCAGAAAATATTACATGCATGTTCTGTATTATCATAGTCTGTATAGACTACCTAATTGCTATCCCCTTGTAGTATTCCAACGTGAAGTCTGAAGAGTTTTCACATTTCCAGAACTAGATACAATTTTATCCATATATACAACGGAACATAATGACAAATAGCTGCTAATACAGTCAGTATAATCTAGAATATAGGTATAATATGCAGGACTTGGAAAATATAACGCATGAGCCTTCAATTTCCTTAATTTAAAATCAATCGCCCAATTATTACAATATTACATACAGAAATGAATTAAGCATTATCAGATGTTTGAGTAGAAGTTTTACTGTCAGTTTTATAGCCGAACTCTGCATTCATATCGATTATTGGCTATTGCCAATATTGGATATTTTCGAACGCACGGGGAGTATGTACCAAATGGTAAATACAATTTAACAATATATATTGAAATTTCTTTGTTTGTTTCACAAACAAGTATATATCAAATATGTTGCTCAATCACAATCGCTAAAATGTTTGTGTTGCGTGTTGAAATGTATAAGCCTTGCAGCGCTATTTATAGAACTACATTGTTTACTACATTGACCTTAACCTGAAGTTCAGGCCCTAATTTGAAATAGGGCCTGA